GAAAGGAAAGGAAAGGAAAGGAAAGGAAAGGAAAGGAAAGGAAAGGAGAGGAGAAAAGAGAATTCCCGGTTCTATCACAATTCAGAGAATCTACAAAAATCCAAGACTCTACATTTTATTTATATATATATGGATTTATTTCAATGTGCAACTAATCTGAAAAGCATGTATCTATATAATCTACACAATTTAAGTGAAGGGAAATACTCAAGTCAGTTGTCTACACTGACTAGAAACACAATTACAGTAACAAAGACCTAACCATGGATTAGCTCATGAGAACAGTAGTGGCATTTGTCTAAAGGACCAGAGATTCAAACAGTCACACTTACAGACAAGAATGAACTGATGCTGGACATGTGGCATTCTGAATAGATAAGTGTGAAATAGGAGAGCCAAGCTGGGTGTGGTGCACCCCTTTAATGCCAGCACTTAGGAGGCAAAAGAAGATAGATCTCTGTAAGTTCAAGGCTAGCCTGGTCTATATAGTAAGTTCCAGGACAGCTGGGGCTATGTTGTCTCAAACCCTTTCCCTCTACAACAACAACAACAACAACAACAGAGGAGAGCTAAACAGTATACGGAGCTCAGGGAAGAATATGCACACCAAAGAGAAAGTAAAGCTGAAGACTGAGGTTTACCATATTCAGTGTTGAGGCCCCACAACTTCACTTTATTAGCTTCATACTGGGCTTTCTTCTTTAGCCTACAAGCTCTGTGAAAGGAAGAGCTATTATTAGTTCATTTTCCCTTTTAAGAGACTTCAGAATGTTATTTCCTTAAATAAGAAAAAAAATTTTTTAAAATGAGTATGCTTCTTTTTATCACGATCAGATATTTTTCTCTTTGAAATTTTCTTCTTCGTGTCTATGTTAGAGGATGAGAGCATACATGAGTGTGTGGTATATGTTAGAGAACAAGAGAGCGAAGAGAGTGAACGTGGGTGAATGAGTCTGTGGAGGGGTGGTAGAGAACAAGAGAGTGTATGTGAATATGTCTATGTGTTCAGACACATGTTACATGCATGCAGGTCAGAGGACAGATTTTAGAAGCTGGTTCTCTCCTACTGTGGGATCTGAGAATTGAACCTGTTCATGAGGCTCTCTCTATTAGCAAGTACTTTTATCTGCTGAAGCCATCAACTGGCATCCGTAGGGCATTTTCTTTACTTTGTAAGATGTATTTTTATTTCCTGTGGGTCGGTGTGTATATAATGCTATATGTTTGCAGGTGCCTGCAGAGACCAGAAGTGGTCGTTGGATCCTTATGGAGCTTGAGTTGTAAGCAGTTGTGAGCACCATGTGGGTGCTGGGAACAGAACTTGGCTGCCCTGCAAGAGTAAGTGTTCTTAATCTGAGCCATTTTTCAAACCTCCAAATGCTTATAATAGGAACTAAGTCGCTTATTTATGCTTATCAAAGAACCTAATTATAAACCACATATCACCATTCAGCCAAATCAACACTAAAAAACTAAGTACACTTTCAAAAACTAAAGTGACTTAAAAAAAAAAAAAGGAAAGGAAAGGAAACAGCAGCAGACAAGGCCCCAGCTGCTGTAGAGGATGTGAAGCAGTAGAGCTCTGTCTATCCTGGTGGGTTAAAACAGTTCTCAGAGCTACTCTGGAAGACAGTTTGGTTGATAGTTTTTTGTTGTTTTTTTTTTTTGTTTTTGGTTTGTTTTGTTTATTTTTTGAGACAAGGTTTCTCTGTTGTAGCCCTGGCTGTCCTGGACCAGGACCACTCTGTAGACGAGGCTGGCCTCGAACTTAGAAAGATCCACCTGTCTTTGCCTCTTGAGTGTTGGGATTAAATATGTGTACCACCACTGCCCAGATGACTGGTAGGTTTTTTTTTTTTTTTTTGCAAAGAAAAACCATATAGACCTTGGCATCTATCAAAAAAAAAATGTAAACTCATACCCACACAAACATCTCTAAGTCAAGTTTATAGTAGCTTTAGTCAAACATGCCAAAAACTGGAACGATCTCAAAGGCATTCATCTGGTAAGCAGAAAAACTGTAGACTTTTCCTATAAAGACTGTCTATGCAGGAATCAAAGAAACCAGCTGTCCATGTTGTCACATGGACAGATCTCAAAGGCATCCCATTAAGTTAAAGACAGACAGATTCAAGCTACTATAGTACATTCCATCCATGTGACATTCTGGAACAGGATAGATCACTGTGAGACACTGTTAATTTTTAAAAAGATCTTGGGGTCTTGAGAGATGGTCCAGCAGTTTAGAGCAGTGGCTGCTCTTCCAGAGGTCCTTGGGTTCGATTCCCAGCACCTACACAGTGTTTCACAATCATCTGTGGCTCTAACATCTTTTCTGGCTTCTGTGGGCACTAGGTCCACAGAGGCTATATGGATGGACATACATGCAGGCAAAACACCCATACACAAAAATAAAATAAATCAATGCTTGTGAAAGGACGATAATGAAAGCTTTGTTTTTTTGTTTTTTGTGGGGCTTTTTGTTGTTGTTTGTTTTTCGAGACAGGGTTTCTCTGTGTAGCCCTGGCTGTCCTGGAACTCTGTAGACCAGGCTGGCCTCAATCTCAGAAATCCACCTGCCTCTGCCTCCCAAGTGCTGGGATTAAAGGCGTGCGCCACCACCGCCCGGCCGAAAGGTTTGTTTTATAATCTTCCTCCTTTGTTTGGTCTTCCAGACAGGGTTTCTTAGTCTTAGAACTAGCTCTGTAGACCAGGTTGGCTTTGACCTCAGAGATCCGCCTACCTCTGCCTCTCTAGTGCTACAATTAAAGGTGTGTGCCTTTACCACCAGGCTTGTAAGTTTTTAAGGTGATGAAAATGTTAATGTATCTTGACCACATTAGATGGTTTTATTTAACTGAGTACATGTCTCAAATTCATAATAGTATACATAAGTTAATTTTATTGTTAACTATATAGTCAGCTTGACTTACCAAAAAAGCAAACCTAAGTTTTAATACTTTTCAGTTATACCATAATAAAGTGTACTTACTGTGTTTGCCTCACCCCCGAAACTTTTTCTTAAAAGCATAATGCCATCTTCCACTTAAAAAGTACAATTAGCAACAAAAAACAACTCACTACAGTAGTTATTTGATAAGTAAATTCTGAAGGTCACCTCGTCTATAAAATCTCAAGGTCTAATCTTACCTCCTAGAGACTATTCACGTGGGTGAACATCATTAGAATTACCTGGAAGCCAGCTTATTTTTTTCTTTCCTTGACCTTGGCCTCGCTGTTAAGGGAAGCTCACTAACTGGAGTCAGGTCACTGATCACCTTATTCAGCTTCCGTAATTCATTACCAATCTGGAGTAGTTTTTTAGGGTTTGGAGTCAGGTCTTCCACATCAGTTCTCCGTGACTTCTTAACAGCATATTTCCCTACAAATCATTTGAAAGGAATGTAAGTTACATCATTTTAGTGAACAAGACATGCAATTTCTACAGCTACCAGCATTACCCGTTCTTCACTTTAGATCTAGAACATTTCAGGAGGCACAGAATGTCCTAACTTCAAAGAACTAGCCCTCTCTCTTTCTCTCTCCATCTAGTCCTGTGGCTAGAGACATAACAATATCCTAGGGCTACAGCTCAGTAAGCAACAGAACCATCGGCTAGCTTACACAAAGCCCTGGATCCAGTCTCCAGCTAGGAACAAGACAGGCTGACTCTACTGTCTCAACACTGCCTCTCTGCTGCTCTCCTCTAGGTCTGATTCCCAGTGTAACCGAGTCCTAACTCTTTGCATAGGACTGAATATCTTACATCTCAGCTTGGAACACAATTTCAACTGCACACAAAAGTCCACGAGAATTTACCTAAATCGAGCCGTGAATCTGGGAATAAGTAAAATAAGACAAAAGCTCTTCTTCAGCTTCCTCACTCACTCCTTTCTCTCCTCCACCTTTCCAAGTGCTCCAATCTAATAACCACAGGGCCTCAAGGACACTAAGTAAACACTAACCACTGAACCACACACCATTGCATTCCTCTCAAGTAGTATAGTACATCCAACGACTTTCCTAAGATTTATTATGAGTAACAGGGAATTATTTACTGGACCTTATTTTTTTATTTTTCATTAAAAAAAAAAAAAGCCTAAATGTAAAAAAAGAGAGAGTAGAGTACAGACCTAGGGCTAGGAAAACAAGGCCAGAGTAACTAACATGCTGGAAGCTAGTTCTTGTCTTCCAAAGTGCTCAGCAAGTGAAGTCTATGGCATGACTGGGCTTTCCATACTGAGCTCATTCATACCTTCTCTCTGCCTTTTTTGGCAGACTACTTGATGTTAATGTAAAACAACAGAAGAAATTCTACTCAATCACAGCTTTCTGGATCCACAACTCTAGGCTTTATCTTTCTAAACCATAAGTTTCTCCTGATTCCTATAAACGCCTCTACTCTTTTTCCACAAACAGGTTTCTTTTTCCCCCCGCCCTGTTTTCCTCCTCATAGCCGTTAGAGTTAATCTCCCCATTAAATGAAGTCTGGGGTGGATGAAAACGGGAAGAGACTCATGAGAAAAGCCTTCTCTTTTCTCTGACTGTGTTGCTTATTTTTTCACAGGTTAAGAACCAATCATCTTGGCCATTTCTTGAAGGAAGTGGACAAAAAAGGGACCAGAAATGATGGTTTTCCAAACTGCTGGAAGCTGTGTGTAGGAAGGAGCAGTTGTGACAGAAAAGCTCTCTCTGATGCCCTCAAGTTGCCTATGAATGGCTGAAAACCCAAGCACACTAAGCATTTGGTTCCTTATCTATGTTTACAGTGACAAAGACAGAGCCCCAGAATCTACAAGAATGAGATAGAAGATTCAAAGTTCAAGGCCAAACTGGGCTGCACAGAGACTTAGAGGCAAGTCTGGGCTATATACTCAAGAAGTATCTCCACCCCTAAAAAAGAGAAAAGGGCACTAAATACTTTTTCAAACCCTCTTACCATGATGTAAGCCATTTTTCTGGTACACATTACTTGGCAAGGTGTCTCGATTCCACTCAGATGGCCTCAGAATCCTCTCTTGCTGCGATGGTGTAAGCTGCTCACTATACTCCCAGAAGTACCTTCTTTTCCCTCTCTTCCGAGAAGATATGGAAGTCATCTCCTTCAAGTCCTCTACAGAGTCATTTTCATATCCTTAAGAAACATGGTCCCACAAATGTCAAAATAAGTCTCTCAGAATAAACAAACAAAAATCCTTCTATTTGTAATGAGATATTTCTTTCATCTCAAGTATCAACGTCATGTCAGAAACAATAATCAAGTTTATAAATTCCAGTATGTAGATCTCAAATTTGTAATATCCAGAAATTAATAAACATTTCATTACATAGTTATTTGGCATGGGTTTTTGTTTCTGGAAATTAGTATAGGATATTGTAGTATCTTCACATGATTAAGAACACAATTAAATACTATGTAGAAATCAATGTGCCATTACAATAAGTAACTATTAAGAAATGGTGCCAGGCACCATGCAGAAACTTAACTTCACTGATGTCTAGCTTTTCACAAATCAAGTATGCTGGATGTTTATAAATTTGTTCAGATGATGCAAAGTCTGGAAGAGATGCCAATGCTAGTGATACATTGAGAAGTATTCACATGTATGTGTGTAATTTGAATTTTTAGAAAGATTAACAATGTTGTCAACTATGGACAAAAGTACCCCAGTTTACCATGTTGGTTTAGGGTTAGATAAAATTAGCCTAGATGAGTTCAAGTTACATTTATTCCATGTGTACAAGAGTATTATACTGTATTAATACTGTCCTTATCTACATGGAGTTGGTTATAGAAATTAATAGTCTATAAATAAAAAGGTGCCACTATAGAATGGTACTTAGATACTATACTGTGGTTTCTAAATGTCTTCCTTTTAATATTTGTGTCTACAAAACTGCTCACAAAGAGCTGTGTCTACAGTGACATCCTAGTTTCTTTTTTGTTTGTTTGTTTGTTTGTTTGTTTGTTTTGAGACAGGGTTTCTCTGTGTAGCCCTGGCTGTCCTGGAACTCACTCTGTAGACCAGGCTGGCCTCGAACTCAGAAATCCGCCTGCCTCTGCCTCCCAAGTGCTGGGATTAAAGGCGTGCGCCGCCACCGCCCGGCAACATCCTAGTTTCTTAGCAGCAGTGATTTTTCTTTCTTTTATTCTACTTCTTCTGAAAAAGTACAAAAAAGACAGTTCCTAAGCAAATAAATGTACAGGTCTATTCTAGGTCATTCTTTAGTGGACTTTATTCTATACCATTGAAGGGTATATTCCTCTTACTAATGAAAAGTTCCAGAAAATATTTAATTCTGAGCTGCTGGAATTGTTGAACAAAGTCAGTGTAGGAAGCCTGGTAACCTAAAATGCCTTCACAGAATGATCATCACAGATGATTTCCACAGGGCAGTAGCAGGAAGGGTGATTTTGGGGAGGTACATGCCAAGTAAAATGACCAAGTTTTCCTTCTGAAACATGACTCTGGAACTCTCCCTACAAAGTGATGACACCTGTTCACTGAGGAGAAAGCTCTCTGAATGTTAGAATTTTACCAACTTTTCTTCAGAGTCACAATCAGGAGAGAATGATTCTATTTATATAAGAGAAGGCAAAAGAGGTACTGTAGCTCTCAGGGTTCAGGTAGAATCAGGGCATAATTATCTTGATTGTGATGGTTGTTACATGAGTGACTACATTCACTTGTCAGAACTCACAGACCCAAAATACTCATACAAGGGTGCATGATAAACAGAGTCAAGTTTTGCTGTGTAAAAACTATACCTCAATAAACAGGATTTAAAAAAAAAAAGTCTGGATTCTAACTCAGTGGTTAGGGCCACTTAGTTGGCATGTGTGAGGTTTGTACTCAAAGGGGGAAAAAAGATAAATTCACAGAATGGTTTCTGAACAATGATGCAGACAAAAATTTGTGCTTCATTCCTAACATTCTGTGTGACTCAACAACGTAGAGGAATGTGAAGTTTCTTCCTTTTCTGGCCTTCAAAGAGTGTACAGAGAGATGATGAGGTACAAGCTGTTGCATATGTTGAATGTGTTTCACTTCACCCCTGACCAAACTATCTCACAACCATTGTAGACTACCTTTCATCAAAAACAATGTGGAATGCAGAGTGACAATGAACCCTAGTTTCTTAATTTAAAAACAAAAAAGGTGCATGGGCAAGTGAGATGGTTCTGCAGGTGAAGACCCTTGCTGCCAGATTTAACAACCTGAATTTGATCCCTAGGACCCAGACAGTGGACAGAGAGAACGGACTCCTACAAGTCGTCCTCTGACCTCCATGTATGTAACTGTGGCAACTACAGAATAACCAAACAGAGATAAAGTAAAAATCTTTTAAAGATGGTTTGATGTATATATTTTATTTTAGATAAAGAGTGTTACCTTGTTCTAGTTATTTTATTAACCTATCTTTGGAAAAGAGGAAAGGGTCACATTATGCCACCAGCTGAGGCATTTTTAGTTGGTGCTTGCTCCACAGTAATTAAGCAAAAAAAATTACTGGTTTAAAGAAATTACACAACCCCAGACATACAGATAATCAAAAGTATCTTGTCTCCCTACCAGCACCCATAACCAGCGTTTCACACGTTTAGTTCTATTCTACTCCAGTCCAAAGCATAGGGACAGACTTTATCCCACGTTCTTAGCACCCCCTTTTCTTCCATATTTCAGTATGTTCCCTTGGTCAGCATCTACCTTTGCTAGACTGCAGGTGGCAAGACATGTTCATTCACTCAATACTCATGCAAATTCATTTGATGTTTCTAAGAAGTGACTGTCTCAGCTGCACAGACTGACATGATGAGAGGCCTGGCATGAACAGCAGAACTGAGCTGGGTCAGCTCTTATGACGCAAGGAGCCCAGCTCTGAGACCACATCTTGCTCCCCTTCCTAACTGGTCGAGTGGTCTAAAAGTCTTCATTACTTTATGCTGAATTTAGAGTCACAGCAATATTTAGGTCTTCATCCCACCTAAACCAGGTATTAGATTTTCTTATGTGAATTTTCTTCCCAAGGAGCATTTAGGAGATGCCAGTTTTCTGACCCAACCTTTTGTATTAACATGTCCCATAAATTTATTACCACTCCACTGCCAACTCACAGAGTGTCTCCTCCAGTCATACACTTTTTCAATATAAAGGCCATGGTAGCCAAGTAAAATATAGAAAAATGGCATACTTACTCACTGATCTAACATCCAAGACCATTCATTCTTCTCATAAAATATGCCCAAAGGAACTCTTTTCTGTAACAGAAGTCTAACCACTACCACTACCCAAAATGAATCTGTGGCCAAGTTAGGTTTTACAAAACCATGTTCCTACATCCCTGGCTGGCCAAGTCACAGAGCACATAAACACACTAATAGATTCTGAAAGAGCCTGGTATAGTGGTACACACATTTAATCCCAGTACTCAGGAGGCAAGAACAGGCATATCTCTGTAAGTTTGAGGGTAGCCTGGTCTACATAGTGAGTTTCTAGGACCCAGGGCATGACTTTCAGAGGCTCAGAGGAGGCTGCTTCATGATGGAGCTAGCTACAGCATCCCATGTGGAAGGCTGAAGGTTCAATCTCCACCACTGCAAAGGTAGGGAGGAATAACTGAAAAATCCCAAGAGCAAATAACTGTTCAACTCTAAATTCTGTTAAGGCAAGGATTCCATTAATCTCCATATAATTAATACCTAATATATGCAATGCCTAACATAAAAGACACTAAAACATGTTTTGATAAATGATTTCTTGATTCCTTTCTCTACCCTGCTTCTTTTTGTTGATATACTATCATAATTAGCTAACTCATTTCTTGCTGACATGATTAAATTAAGATAGGAGTGTGGTGTCTAATTTATCCTGGTACTTGGGAAATGAGGTGAAAGGATCAGGAGTTCAAAGTCAACCGTAGGTATATACCAAGTCTAGGCCATCCTGGACTACAGTAGCTCTTGTGTCTCAAAAAACCAAACAGTGACAACATAAAGGAAGTAAAATGTCATATTTACGAAACGTCAAGCCACACAGCTATGGTCTGAACAGACGTACAGGTAAAGTCCACTGAGAAAGAGGCTCAGTGAGAATTACAGAATGAGCTCTCACTTTTAAGGAAGTGAGTTCTTGTTCTTGAACCATGCACTTTTACAACCCAAACAGTTGTAGCCAGTCTACAGAACAGGCTCTATTAGCACTTGGCAGTCAGTTCAGAAGAGAGACTGAAACTCTATTTTGCACCTCTCTTGGAACTTTGCAAGCTCATCAACTGCATAGCCATTTGCCAAGAAACAGAATCTCAGGAGCTGGTCAAAACAAAAGGGCCTTTGTAAACCAATCACCCAACCCCAGCCTTACTTTATTGATTTCAAAAAATGTCTTCTTATATCTCAGACACAATTTCCTTTTCCACCCCTCAACCTGATCTAAATCTTTCTTTCAAGAAAAGAAACAATTTGTACAAAAATTTTTTAAATCCCAAGTAAGTTCTACAAAATTGTGTTAAGTCTATGGTTCAAGTATGTCTGTCACCCACTAACATCTAGAGTACTGCGCAAGCAATCCTAACCAAATGATTCACTTCAAGTCAACTGAAAGTGAATGAACGTACATGGCATATTCATCCAGACATTAAGCAGCATTATCATTTAGATCCAGGAAGAGCATCAGAATCCACTAAATACCTTCTAAAACATAAAGCCACTGCCTAGCTGCTCAAGAAGAGCAGTCTCCAACCAAGGCTTATGCTATGGAAGAAAAGGAAAGAGGATGTGACTAGACAGATTAAAAAACTTGTAGTCTCTGTGTAAGTCAAAATTCTAAGAAAATGGAAATGGTGCCACGGGGACTGAGTTTTCTTGAGTTCACCAATGTGATCTCAAAAAACTAAAAATGCAAATCCAATATGGTGGATATACCAGCGTGGTCTGTTAGAAGAATCTCCGGGGAATAAACTGGGAAAAGCTAGATGCCTGCCATTTGAAAATGTGGATAGTAGCTGCACATCCATAGTCTAATAGTAAGGAAAACAGAATTGTATAGAGCAAAGAAGGACCTTTCTAATCTGCCAGCTACAGTGGAAGTGGTATCCAGACACATTTTCCATAAAGACCCTTATGGGGCAGGCCAT